ATGCTACGATCAGCCATCCGATTCTGAGACCCCGGCACACAAGGTGCATTCGTTCATGTGCCGGCTCTGTCGCCACCACTTGGTTCTCCGAGTCGGTTCGCCCCAACCAGACGAAGCCGAACAGCACAAGAACCAGCATCATTTTGTCCGCCACGGGGGTGGCGACCTCCGCAAACCTGATATCGAACACAATCTCAAGGACAGGCTCTATCCCCTTCTTTGGCACATCTCATATCACTGCTCGGCCTGCAAGCTGGTCCTGGACCTGGAGATATCGGCGCCCCGCATGCCGCGCGAATGGGTCGACTTCATCGCCGACCCGCATCGCATCAAGAGCGCCATCGCTGCCGCCAAGAACGAGGACCCGGATAGGTTCAAAGCCATTGACGAGGAAAAGACCAACCACTATGCGTCGACGCCCCTGGAGACACTGAATACCTACCTCAAAGACGTGCTCGAGAACCCAGAGAAGAAGAGGCGGATCGCATCCAGAAACAAGACATTCAAGATACAGTTTGGCCAGGCATGCGAGCACGTCTTTCGCTATCTCGGCTTCACTACTCTGCAGGCGGAAGATGAAGAGGACGTCTTTTGGCTACCTCCACAGCTGGGCCCCAAGGAAGCAAAGACGCCGCTCCGTTCAGAGCGTGCCTTCTATGAAGACGTCCGAACCGAGCTTTCCACCTTCTTGGAGAAGCCACCTGGTGGGCTGAAGTTGACGGTAGCCCTCACGTCGGCGCCGGGCCGCGAAGCTTTGGAGATGGCCCTCGGCCTCGCTTCCCCCGGCAACCGCAAGCCCAAGCCCCAAGACCAAGACGAGATCAAAGCCTTCAGAGCACTGGGCGCATCGTGGGACTCGGACGACGACGAGACGCTAAAATGGGCCTACCAGCGACAGATCGACGTTGATCCAGACAACAGATCGATATACAACAATCACCTCGGCCGCCTCGCTGCCAGCAGAGGCGAATCACTTCAGCTCTACGTCGTCCTAGAGAGAGAAGCGGCGGAACCTCAACCCACGGAGCCCGTGACAAGCCAAGATTTGGTCGAAAGGGCGTACCTGCATTTCCAGCTCGACAGAAACAATGCCAGAACCCCCCAGTTCACGACGCATGTCCTTGGCGTATACCGCGCTCGCAGGGACGCCACCACGGTTCCCGACCAGCTAGCACGTTATCGAGCAAACCTCCTTCTCATTGCTAAAGATCTTGGGAGCGAGGAGATCAGGCAAGTGGCTTATACACAGCCGGAAATGGAGAAACCCGAGGCGTGTGCGTATCTCGCGGTCAAGCCGGAGTGGCCGTTGGAAAGCATCGCCGCAGCCGCTCGGAGCTCAATCGACGTAGGTGTCTTTGTCTCGCAGCACAGCATGCTCATTTCTCATCAAGGGGATCATAATTACTAACGAAAAGCCAGCATCTGGACGAGGAACTCATGGTCTTGGCGATGGAGATGATCTTGGATGGGAGAGAGCATGACGAAGGGGCAGAAGACTACCGAAGTGCGATGGGTGAGATTAAAAGCATCCGAGTCCACAAGGAGATGACGGGGGTGGGGTATGTCGGCCAGACTGTACACGTCTCTTCGGATCCCGACATGCCCGTGGGACTTGGGAACTTACGCAACACTTGCTATCTCAACAGCATTCTGCAGTACTTTTACACGGTCCACGCTGTCAGATATCTCGTTCTTGGGTCTACCCACCCCCGCCTCGAACCAACTGATCAGTTCATGAGAGACCTGCTGGGCCGCAAAGGCTCCAAGTTGGAGCCAGGCAGGGCCTTTGTCGGCTCGGAATGTACGTGACCCCCCATTTTCGCGTTCGGCACTCTGAGCCTATATGCTAACGCTAGTTATAGTCGCCATTGAGCTATTCGAGCTATACCAGGCTCTCCACACATCCAGCGACGGTTTTGTGATGCCGAAACAGCGTCTTGCCAACGCTGCTCTGCTGCGGCCCGACAAGATCCGCCCCAAGGCGGATGAAGCGGTGGCTCCTTCCGCCGAGCCTATCAACAAAGCCGCGCCGCCTCTGCCACCGCGTGGGGTCGAGGTGGCGGAGCCCACGGTCACGGTTGATGCTGTGGCAGATAGTTCGGACACGGCGAGCATCCTCAGCTCCCAGACGCTGGTCGAGAAGCCCGACGAGGATCCCTCCTATGTCGTCGTGGCGCACGATGCCTCGGATCAAAATGGCGTCGTTGCCATGGACGTGGATACTGGCGATGCCAACGTCGATGCTTCCGCTCAGAAACCCGAGCCCATGAGCTCCAAGCTGACTGTGGAGGAGCTTGCGGTCGAGCTAAACAAGTCAGATGTTTCTGGATCCGACCAGATGGATGTCGACGAGGTCATGGGCAACGCCATCGATCATCTCCGCGCCGCTTTCCAAATCACCTCTACCGAATCCACCCCTCAAGACCCCATAGAGGAGGGGTTCTTCTCGACCTTTTTGGACAAGCGCAAGAATGTTAGCGACGAAGAGTGGACCTCGAGCAGCCGCGGAGACCGCTGGGTGACTGCCTATCCGGCAAAGTCTGGCAAGCGCTCTCTCTACGAAGCGCTCTCGGCCTCATTTGACCTGGAACAGGTTTCCCCAGGCCTTCTCTCCTACACGACGATCAAGCGTGCTGCTCCCAACTTTCACATTTGCATTCAGCGCGCTGATGGCGTGAGCAAAAACATGAATGTCATAGAGATTCCAGCGACATTGTACCTCGATCGATACATGGACGTTCCCGATGACTCCGTGGTGGCGAGGGACAGGCGAATCTCGTGGAACATTCAGGCTCGGCTTGCCGAGATTGAGTCTGGCAACAGCAGCGCCACAGCCGAAGACGGGACCAATCTGCCAAACAAGGAGGCGGTTGCCAAGACAGAGACTGTGCTGCCCATCACGGACGAGGAGCTAGATGGATTCGTTCTCCTCGGCGATGTCCAGCCTGATCTCCCTGCCGATGACGTGGCGGAATGGTCCGTGGTCAATGACTCGACATTGCGAGATCTCATGGACGCTTACCCAAACATTACCGTCGAGGGTCCTACCCGAATCAATGGAGTCGCAAAAGCCGGTGCAACTGCTGAGGACCGCACCACTCTTTCCCAGGAGACGCGGAGCCATGAATTCTGGTCGGCGTTCAAAGCAAAGGAAGCCGACGAGAAGAAGAGTCTGGAGCTACGGAGAGCTGAGCTGTTTTCCGATGCGAAAACCGAAGCTTACCTTCTTCACGCGGTAATCTGCCATCTGGGCGGCTCGGCCGCAGCTGGCCACTACTGGGTGTGGATCTACGACTTTGAGCGCGCCAAGTGGTACAAGTACAACGACACGAGGGTCTCGGAGCATCCCTCTGAAGAGGTGTTCTCAGAGCTCAACAATAGGGGCGAGCCATATTATCTCGCGTACGTTCGAGCCTCCGAGGTTGATCAACTCGTCAGCATTCCTCGCCGAGAGCATGCGAACCGTGGGCCCAATCACGACTTCATCATAGAGAATTAGGACCTGCTTCCGGGTTCGCGGAGCCAGCGTCTTCGACAGCGTCTTCTACGGCGTCTTCTCAACAAAAAACTCCGCCCATTTCGAAGGAAGTCTAAGTTTAGACGTCCTAGGTGTCGACTGCCCCCATCCCCCTTGAGGCTTTGCACCAGCTCCGAAAGCTTGCCCAACGTCAAACTCCCGACATGTTTTAAGGAGAGGAGGAGATATCCGCTGAAAACGCCGCCACGGAGTAAATTGCACATGGCGAAAACTATTCGCGAAGAAGCCTGGCATGTCACGATAGAGGATTGGCTACAGACCGTGATCGCCCACAAACAGCCAAGTTTGTCCACCAACAAACACCCTTGACCTCGATCATCAAGCGGCTAACGATTTCTATAGAAACTAATGGAACCCAACACTCCTGAACTCGACCGTGTCTTTATGGATATCATCGACACCATCGGAGCACGCCACGAAGACATGTTTCTACGGAGGACATTCCAACGAGCACGGAAGATCTGTGCTGGAGCGTATGGTTTGGCAACGTGCCTTTGATGGCGAAATGGTGGAACCTGTCGACAAGTCAACACTGGCTTTCAACCACATCCAAGGCGCTCTGGGTGCCATCGAGAACCCCGAGAGCAGAAAACACTTGCTGGGACATGGCAGCGCAGGGTCAATTGTTTGGGTCGGCTCCAGTCCGGGTGACTGTCACTGGCCGTTTCTGCGAAGCGTTGGGTGGGCGGGTCTGGGTTGCATCTTTGCGCATCGATGGAACAGCGACTGTATTCTTTCCTGTTTTCTTTTTGTTGGCTTTTGCTCTATCTTGTGAGCATTTGTTTGCGTTAGGAGCTTTGGTGGCTCTGGAGCCCTAGGGGCAAGGTAGACAGATGTTGACTAGCAAAACACAAGCGAGGGCGATGTTTTTCGTCCGTGAATACCCTTCTGGATGTGTTTGCTCCGTGCGAGCTTGGAGTGGTGTCATTTGGCTTGGGCACAGATTCTATCCGGTCTTTGTGTTGCTGTGTCTTCCTTTCTTCATGTCATGACAGTCCCCCCTTTCCTTCCCCAACAAATGAAGTTTCCGGCTCGCAGTCATGTCGCCCCTCATGACGGCGGCGTCATCGTAGAAACCTAGGATGATTGCTGTCAGCAAGAGCATTGAGAGAAAAAGGACGAAATTAAGGAGAACCTCCAAAGCTAAAAAATATTCACCTAAAATAATAATAGTCTTTAGTTCAAGTGATAAACCTTTAGCTGAAAAACTAGCGACAGAGAATGTGGAAAAGGTGAAATGGGGAAAGGGAGAAGGAGAAAAAAATAAAACACCAGGGATCATTTTCCTAACCTAGCCACTGGCGAGTCTAGCCCTACTAGCTTAGATACCCAGGCGTCTATAAACAACATTGCAGCTGCCTCTCCTTGCCTCTTGGCAAAGTACGGGAGATTGGGCTGGGTGTGCCCGCGGAGAGGCACCAGGGCATTATCACCATCACCCCTCAACCTGGCAACTAATGACGGTCGAATGGTGTAGTTGGTTATCACGTCAGTCCAACACACTGAAGGCCCACGGGGTCGAGCCCGTGTTCGGTCATGAAAAGCTGTTTGGCTATTCTCACATTGTTGCAAGTGACAACTGCCCCTGGCAGGATTTTTTGGCTGGTGGGTGGAGATTGACAGGACATTGCACCACCTGCCCCCCTTTTTGCTGGCCAACCTAAACAATCGAGCAGGGAGACGGATAGGTAACCATATAAATATTCTTGCGACACAGATCTATCAATCTCATGTGGCATTCCGCGTGCCTGTCGCTCCCAATCGCAAAACTCCCAGAGATCCCGTGTTTCCTAGCCCCTGACGCCAAGCAACGCAAGTAAACAACCGACTTCCGCTCCCAGTATCCCCCTACAGCGCCTTGACGCTCTGAAAGAAGGGATTCGCCAACAATTTATCGTTCCCCTTGACCAGCTCCCGGATCTTGGCCACCATCTCGTCCTTGCTCATCTCCCCGCTCTTGACCTCGTCCTTCCACTTGACCAGCACCTCCTTCAGCAGCGCGCTCCCCTCCTCGACGTCCTCCTTGCTGTACTTGACGCCCAGCCCGCCGGCCTCGTGCTTGACGGTAAAGTCCTCGAGCTCGTCGGCCTTGCGCTTGGCCATGCGCACCACCTTGTCGGGGAAGCGCACCAGCTCGGCGACGTGGATGCCAAAGCTCTGGTCGCAGATGCCGTCCTCGACCTTGTACAGCAGCGTGACCTCGCGCTTGTCGTCGTCCTTGGCCTTGGCGCCGGTCCCGCTGATGTGCGCCGTGACGTGCAGGTTGCGCACCTGCGGGTACTGCTCGGCGAGGGCCGTCAGCTCGTGGAAGTGCGTGGCGAAGAGGGCCGAGCAGCCAATCTCCTTGATGATGTGCTCCGAGATGGCCCAGGCGAGGCCGAAGCCGTCGTAGGTCGAGGTGCCGCGGCCGAGCTCGTCGATGATGATGAGGCTCTCGGCCGTGGCCGACTTGAGGATGTTGGCCGTCTCGAGCATCTCGGCCATGAAGGTCGACACGCCCTTGAGCTGGCTGTCGCTGGCGCCGACGCGCGCGAGGATACAGTCGAAGATGGTCAGCTCGGCGGCCGCGCACGGCACGAAGCAGCCGATCTGCGCCATGAGGGCGACGACGCCGATCTGCCGGATGTAGGTCGACTTGCCGCCCATGTTGGGGCCGGTGATGATGAGGAACGAGGAGCTGCCGGGTTTGAGGGTGACGTCGTTGGTGATAAACTGCACGTCGTCCTGCATCTCCATGCAGGGGTGGCGTGCCTCGGTGAGGACGGTCTGGCCCTTGCCGCGGGGGTGCATCTTGGGCCGGACGTAGGATGTCGGCGCATGCACGGAGCAGTGGGCGAAGGAGACGATGACGTCGAGGTGGGCGAGGACGCCGGCCAGCCGCTCGATGACGGGGCAGTACGAGGCGGCGACGCCGATAACCTCGCTCGCCAGGCTGCTTTGCGTCCGGTTGTAGTTTTGCGACAGCTGGTCGAACTCGCGGCGATGGGCCAGGAGCGTCCTGGTGGTGAAGTAGACGCCGTTCTTCTGCGTCGAGCACTCTTGGTATTTGGACGAGTTGCGGATGCACCCGGCTTCTGTGCGGGTGAGACGCATGCACCACCCGTGCACCTTGTGGTTCTCGAGAAAGATCTTCTTCTCGCGCTCCTGGCCGAGGTCGTTGGCGGCGTCGGCAAATTCGCTGTTCATGTCGGCGCGTAGCCGGTCAAGCTTCTTCCGGATAATGCGCAGGCTGTCGTCGAATTCCGGCTTGATGATGAACTCGTGGTTGTCGAGCGCGTCGAGGTCAATGGTGGTCTCTACCATCTCCTGCAGCTTGACCAAGGCGTCGGACAGCTCGCGGAGCTTGTTAGTGTACGCCTCGTCCAGCGGGTCACGGTAGGTTTCATCCATGACGCCTTCGAGGGTTCCAAGAAACCCAGGCAAGCGGATGATGACCTGGTATGCTCTGACGACGTCTTCAAGTGTTGCCTTTTTGCGCTGGAAGCGCTTGGACAGACGGTACAGATCAGGGATGGACCGGAGATGCTCCTCCTGCATCGTCTGGCGGAGCTCGGTATCGTTGACAAAGGTCTCCACAAGCTGCTGCCTCTTCTCGATCTCGTCCTTGTTCATGAGCGGCTGCTTCAGCCATTGGGCGAGGAGCCTGCTCCCCACTGGGGTTTTGCAGTGGTTCAGCAACCCATACAAGCTCATGTTCTTGGCGCCATCCCTGGCGCCAGGCATCAGGTTGAGAGCTTTGAGCGCCGCTGCGTCTAGCTTCATAAACTGGGCCAAGTCGTGCTGGTACAACTGGTATTGGCCAAAGTTGGATGGGTCGTGCAGGACACCGAGATACTTGATCAAGGCGGCGGCGGAGCCCATGGCGAGCTTCAGCTCTGTCTGTGGGAGTGTGCTGGCGGAGCGTTCGTCCTTGAGAAGTCTCGCCAGATCTTGGTCAATGTCCTTGATGCCGAACTCGCCCGCTGACCGTTCCGAGATGGCGATACCGCAGTTGTCGATGATTTGCCTGAGCTTTGCGAGTTCGGGATCCTTCTCCCCCTTGTCAATCTGTATGAGACACTCCTTGACGCCCAGCTGAATCAGGAGGGCCTCGAAGTGGGAGTACAGGTCGTTGTCCATGAATTCGCTGACGCCCAGCTCGCGGACGCTGGCATCTGCGAAGCACACCCCCACCGTCCTGGCTTCGGTGGCCTTGGCCAAGATCTTGACGGCCAAGATGACGGGAGCGCCCTCGAATTGACCTCCAATGTCGTCCTCGACGTCCTGCAGATTGCCGGGCGACGCTTGTTTGACGAGCTTCCAGTTCATGCGGCCGCTGTTGCTCGCCCAGATCTCGACGCGCTTGCCCAGCTTGAACAGGGCCTCGCGGAGGAATTGTCGAAAGACGGTCATGGTCATGGTGACGGATGGGAGGCCGGTGTGGTCACTCTTGCCGAGCTGACGGACCACCGAGGTGGTTTTGTAGACTGTGCGTGCAATAAAGTTGGCATCTTCGCCGTGCGCAGTGTACCAGTCCCCTCTGTCAAAGATTCGAATAGCATCGGGGCCGAGGTCGGGGAGGGACTTGAAAAAGCGGATGAAGCCATGCTCGTCGTCGACCTGGGAACCACGACCGATTAGCGCACGCACTGGAAGAAACGAGAGGACCCGGGATGATATACCTTTAATTCGGGCCTGGAAGACATGTTGGCGTATTGCTGAATATCAAAACACGAGAGAGTCGATGTAGAACACGCAGTCGCATCGCCTAGAGTGGGCTGGAGTGGGAGGATGGAGTGGGATCAGATGGATGGAACGCTGCACAGGACGGGATCAAAGCCATCCGCTGGGAGACGCGCCTCCAATAAAGTTACTGGGATGAAGACGCGTCGCAGCGTGTCAGGGGGCTTCACCGCCTAGCCCCCCTGGACGAAAAAGCAAACCCTTACACTTCCCACACGACCTTACCTCCCCAACCCGGCCAAGAAGACGCCCTTCTGGGCAAGAAATAGGCCCAGGGGATGGCCGTGACCCAACAGAGTGTTCGATATTGGCCTTCTCTCCGCCTGGCAGTGCAATTCCAAGCGACGAAGAGAGGCTTTCACGCCGTCCTGGCGACTTGCTGGAGCGGGCGAGTGCCTTTTTTGTCCACACGGTGCATCCCAGGCCCCACTAAAACTCATTTGTGCCGCATGCCTTTCCCCCGAAACATTTTCCTGCCCCACCTAAAATACCATCTCCAATGCTCCAACCTGCCTCCAACTCGAGCCGCCCTCGACACCACCAGCCCGCGCACCATGGCTGACACCGCCATTCCAACGCCGGCTCTCGAGCTCGACAGCGATCACTCCTCGACCAACTCCAATGGCAAGCGCAAAGCCTCCCACCAGCTCTCCCGGGTCGACGACGACACCCCGATGGACGCCGCCCCCACCACCACCGACGACGCCTCGGTCCCCCTCTCCAAGAACCACTTAAAGCGCATCCGACGACAGCAAGCCTACGAAGACTTCAAGGAGGAGCGCAAGGTCAAGCGCAAAGAGAAGCGCCACGCCAAACAGCAGCGCAAGCGGAGCGAGCGCCACGCGGCCGTCGCCGCCGCCGAGGCCGCGGGGCTCGACCCCACCACCGTCCTCCAGCCCAAGAAGGAGCCGCGGCCGCCGCGCCCCGTGCCCGTCGCCATCATCATCGACTGCGATTTTGAGAGCTACATGCGCGACCCCGAGATCGTGTCGCTGTCGAGCCAGGTGGTGCGGTCGTACTCGGAGAACAAGAAGGCGCGGTACCAGGCGCACCTGTTTGTCAGCTCGTTCAAGGGCAAGCTAGGGTCGCGGTTCGAGACTGTGCTCAAGAGCACGCACAGGAGCTGGAAGGGCGTGCGGCTGATGGAAGGGGACTTTATCGAGGCCGCGGCCGACGCCAAGATGCTGCTTGGGGAGCCCAAGGCGGGGAGCCCCATTGACGTGCTGCTGTCGAGCGAGGGGAAGCCGGGGATCGTGCTCGAGGGCGCTGAGGAGGTGGCGCCGGAGGATTTGGAGGCAGAGGATGTCGACCAGTCGGTCGTCTATCTGTCGTCGGAGTCGCCGTATACGCTGGAGAGGCTGGAGCCCGGCACCAGCTATGTCATTGGAGGGCTGGTGGACAGGAACCGCGAGAAGGGGCTGTGCTACAAGCGGGCGCGCGACCGCAAAGTCCGCACAGCCAAGCTGCCGATTGGGGAGTACATGGCCATGCAGAGCCGCTATGTGCTGACGACGAACCAGGTCATTGAGATCATGGTCAAGTGGATGGAGTGCGGTGACTGGGGCGAGGCCTTTTTGGCTGTCATTCCCAAGCGCAAGGGTGGCACGCTCAAGACTCAGGATGGGTCTCAGGCGGATCCCGAGGAGACCAAGGACGGTCAAAAAGAGGACGGGAAGGGTGATTCGGATGATTCGGACTCGGACTCGGAGTAAGAGGTCTGGGCAAAGCCAATAAAAAAGATACCCCTGTCGGCATTGACCCTCACGGGAGATGCGAGAGCAGATGCAGTAGAGTAGGTTTCGAGATAATACGTAG